GCACTGCATTCTCAATTATTGGTTCCACCACTCTTTATTTATACTACATTATTTAATAAAAACTATTGTGGTTGACAAATGAAACTTTAGAGGACAAATACAGTAAGGAGAATTTACATACAAATTTTAAGACCCAGTTGTCAAAATTCAAGACTTTTTAAGGTATTATTTCCAAATTCCTAAATTCAATGTTTTTAAGACTTTTTAAGGCCCCGCAGGAACCCTGGAAACATTCACTCAACGCACATGAATGCGACGGACCCCTGCGGAAACGACATAGAGTGCCCATCAATTTGTTTGTCAGAATTTTTACAGGTTTCCAGCTGATAAAATACACCAAAGGCAATGGTCAGCCAGAGAGCTCTAGTGAATAAACCACCCACATTGTGGCAAAGTTTCATGACAGGATAAAAAAGTAAAATATCTGCCCTGCATGTCTAGACAGAAAAAGTTATGGCCATCTAATTACTTTTTATATAATTATGTACGACTGCGGGGACGAGGAGCCGGCCAGGGAGAACCAACTGACCAAGCGGAGGCAGCAGCTGAATGAATTGTGCTGCTGCTATGTCCTGATAAATAAATGTATGTGAAAATGACAAAGCTGGTGTGGTGTGTAGTTCTGTGTCCTACTGTTACTGTGTGTGTGTGTGTGTGTGTGTGTGTGTGTGTGTGTGTGTGTGTGTGTGCGCTTATGGTTTGTGAGACCTATTTGTCAGTTTACACACCAGCATTATGAAACCAATAGGTTTACGAGACCATTTTTGATGGTCTCGTAAACCGTGACTTTTAAAGTGTTGTAATCTTTGAAAAATATAAAAAGTAAACATTGTTAATATATTATTACAAACTTTGTAACAGCCATTATCATCTTATTTAGTTATTTCTGCAACTTAACCTTCCTTTTGTGTTTTATAGCCAATTAAAAAATTGGTTTCGTAAACCATATCGGTTGTGTTGTATATAATATCAGAGCCCCCTGCAGGTAGAAAACTGCATAGCAGGGCTGATACAACCGATACAACTTAGCACCTCAGCAGCAGGACTTCTCCTGGCCTAATACTGACTTCTCGCTAAAAAATATAAATTGCCATAATGTCATCATCGTAGGACACAGAGTCTCGAAAATTTTTGTGGTTGTTTGTCATCCACTCCTAAACAACAATCAATAATCAGATGATGACATCATCAAGGCTCCACCCCCTCACAACAGAAAAGGTCATGTTTACTCTGAAAGCTCCCAATTATACCCTTTTGATCTAACCAATATGAATCACTGCCAAATAACAGTTGACATGTTGGGCTCACTTAGCATCCAGTACTGGCAGGTGTTGAAAGAGGGCGGGGCTGTGGCAGTATGGCGAATTCAGGCGTAACGCCGTAGCAATATGTTTGCCTCATTTCCTCATTCCTCAACTTATCTGCAGGAAATTTTGCATGAATGTGACTAATCTGACCTCAAACAGATATGGATGCAAACATCCTGTGGGTGTGGTCTATTTTTTCAAATAGCTCCCCCTAGGACCATTGAAATGGTAAGCCCCATGTCATGCTTTTACTGAGGATTATGAAAATTGGTACACTTATGTAGTGTCTCAGAGCCTACAAAAAGGTCTATGGAGCCACTTTCCAAATCTGACAGGAAGTCTGCCATTTTAGTCACATAACTATTTCTTCTTTTCTTTTTTGCACATGCTTAATTAAAGCTAACTTATCGTAGAGTTTTTGACCTATAGACTTCAAAATGACATATTTCACTCATAAGCCACTGAGGATCAAAAGTTGTGAAAAACATACTCAAAAGTATAACTGTGTAGGCATGGCTAAGCCTAAGATATTGACCCCTTGCCACATCAGTGGGTGTGACCTATTTCTTTAAAATAGCAGGCCCCTAGGGCAATTAAAACTATCAGCCTCATACCATGCTTTTACTGAGGATTATGAAATTTGTTACACATATGTAGTGTCTGGTAGGTTTCAAAAGAGGGTGGGGCTTAAGGAGTATGGCGAATTTAGGCATTACACCATGGAATTACGTTTGCCTCTAATTTCTTCAATTCACATCTCATCTGTGCGAAATGTAATGTGATTTACTCTAATCCAACCCCAAACAGATAATTATACAAATTTTCCATAGGCATGGCTTAGTTTTAACATAGTGCTCCCTAGGACCATCACAACAGTCAGCTCTATGTCATGCTTTGACTGAGGATTATGATATTTGGTACATTCATGATGTGTCTTGAGACTTACAAAAAGTCTCCTGAAACCATGTTTCAAGACCAGCAGGAAGTTGGTCATTTTGGTCAGATGATGCCATTTTATGAGGCCAGAACAGTCTCAATAAGAATTAAGTCACACAACGTTTTCCACAAATGCACATGTTCATTCGGAAATCCACACTGTGTTTCATAAAATATAATTCGGAGGAACACAAATGCACACGCTCATTTGGAAATTCATACTCTTTGACACATAAATATAATGTGAAACAATAAGTCACGCAACATTTTCCACAAATGCACACGCTAATTCTGAAGTTCACACTCTGTGGTTCACAAATATAATTTGTAAGAACACTTGTAATATAAACTCACAGATCATACGAATAGCTGAATGTGCATTTACGAACAGCTTCTCATTTGTGAACCTTTCTGCGTTTGTGAGTGAAATCTGTGTGGTGCATTCACGAACAGCTTCTCATTTGTGAACCTTCCTGCATTCGTGAGAGAAATCGGTGTGCTGAATTTTGAGACTCTCCTAACGTCGCAGATCAACAAACGTCACCATTGGCTAATGAATCTGTCAATCAAATATATGATTCTGCCAGGGCTGTTCGATTTCAGCCAGTCATATGGCTCCTTATATTACGGAACAGATCTGCTGTGCGCATGCGTATTGCAGTTCACATGGCAGAGCGGGATGGACCGGTCACAATCTGTGAGTAACAGTTTTATCTTATTCCCTCGTTGTAATTTATGCAATGTTATAGAATTATGAGTAGAAGCGTTCTTCATGGTCAAGTAAAATGTTTTATGTTAAATTCAGTCCAGACGTTACATGAAGTCTGGTACATTCTTCATCTAGTTTAACATCAAGCTAAACTCAGGCGAACATTTGTTAGTTAGCGTGTCTAGGTACCATTTTTTTAGGCCACGGTTGTCAAACTCAAGCCCTTGGTCTATTTTTTTTGCCCCGCGAAATCAAATATCAACTATATAATATTAAAACTGGCCCGCCGGGTGATTTTGCAGATAAGACTACTAATCCAACAGTGCTTTGCAGCGTTTGCGCGCGAGACGAAGCAAGCCCTCTTTTATGTTTACGATCATTAGCATCCATGCTAGTAGAATCAGCGTGTGCAGCGTTACCCTCAGTCTTAAACAACTGAAGATACTCCTCTAAGCGCCCAGTTTACTCAGCGAGTTTCCGACTTTGAACGCCTAGAAAGAAGGTATCTGGCTGGAAAAGGTGACCATCAGATTGGAGCGAACTGAGCTTGAAATATTTAATTGTCATGCACTTTTTCTGCTCCAAAGCATGAAAGTTAATAACTGAGATATTTTCATAGAAGATAATTGCTATTTTTGGTTTTTGTTGTTGGCCTGTGAAAAAAAGATTAAACTTACTCTAAAATGGGAACTGGACAGACTACAAATTGAAGAATAGAATAGAAAATCCCTTTATTGTCCCTCAGTGGGGAAACTGTGGTGTCACAGCAGCAATAACGTTCATTACAGGAGCCAAACAGGAGAGTAAAACATAATAATAAAGAGTAAACTAAAAGAAAACATAAAACAGACAAACTTAAAATATCCAAAAGGTAAAACAATCTAAATACTGAATATGTACACATTGTAAGGAGTAAAAAGAGTAAATAAAAATTGAGACATAAGTAACGAGTGATGTGTTTTATTTAAAACACGTGTGTAATTTGGTCATATCAGATTCTGTGTTCAGATGCAAAAATAAGTTTCTTTCCAATTGAATAACAAGACATCTGTAAATAAACTTTTCAATAAATATTGAGTTTGGGGCGCAATTTTGTCCCAGTTTTTAATTTGGTCCTATTGTGAATTTGAGTTTGACACCCCTGCTTTAGGCTGTGCGTGCAGTAATAAGGAGACAGACACTGGCTGAGCCAGTGTATAAATGTTTGATTTTCTGGCGGTGGGCAATAGTTAAAGAAATATTATTTTTTTTTAAATAAAATACATCTTTAAATTTTGGCCAATGAGCTCTGGCACATAATAAACAGAAATACTGCTTCATCATTTCATGTACCTTTGAATCTACAGTTGGTCTTATTTAAAAATGTTTTTTTATTAAAACTAGCATAGCTGGAGTGTTAAAAAAATAAAAGTGCCATAAGATATTTGGAAGTTGTTATTTTATTTCTATTACCCAACAGTTATCCAATTCATGTTTGTTCTGTTTTTTTTTTTGTTTTGTTTTTTTCCTCTAGGAATCATTGAGGCTTGACATCCTTCAAAGGTTGTACGATCGACTGTCAAGCATCTTGGAGAGGCAACCTGTTGATGGGGAAGGGCTACAGTTTGCTTGTCACCATTATTTAGTTTTATTAGGTGCTCTAGGTGACATTGTTGATGTAGGAGAGGATATACTTTCTGCTCTTTCAGATCTGAATACTATTATCCAGCAGGAAAGAGATAATCAAAAGGCATTAATAACGGTACACGTTGAAAGAGGTTCTCGTGGCCGCCCACGACTGGCGGTGTCGCGAGAGGCTCTCGAACACCTTGTGGAAATGGGTCTGCCAACAAGTGTCATTACCAAACTCCTTGGTGTATCCAGAGTAACTCTATTTAGACGGATGTCTGAAAATATTATACCTGTATCTGCCACATACAGTAAATGCAGTTATGAGGAACTAGATTCATTTATCACAGTAATTAAGAGCAACATGCCAGATGCTGGGTACAGGGTAGTCCGAGGTGCTCTACTTCCCCAGGGACATAGAGTACAGTGGGACAGACTGTATGCATCGTGTGGACAGTGCGGGTGTACTTGCTCGAATGACATGTCTGGGATGTGTAGTGAGAAGGACGTACACAGTTCCTTGCCCAAAGTATATGGTGCACATTGACATCAGGTAATGTCTGTGTGTAATTGGAGATGTTATTTTTTGTTTTGGGAGTTGCATTTTTAATTGTCTGTGTTTTAACAGGTACAATTTTATTATCTTTGGGGGAATAGACGGCTATTCAAGGAAGGTAGGTGTTTTCATTGTCAAGGACCAAACAGCTGCAAATGTGTTTTCTGGCTATCTTCTGTTTTATAGATATGTTTTATACCTTTAACAACTTATATTTTGAAGTAAAGGGCTGCATAGGAATGGGTCCCAGCAGGAGCGAGCAGTTTGAACAGTTGGCTAAAAACCAAAGGGATTTTCAGAAATCCCAAAATATACACATTATTATTTTTTGCATATTTGTAAAGTCAGTTAATGTAAGGGCTTGTAATAATGATTAGCCTTTACTCCTCCATATTGATTTTTAAATGGAAGAATATGATACACAATCCCATGAATCCAATAATAGTCTGTCATGCCATGTTTTCTCCTGCACGATGAGTGAATACACAAAATCAGTGCATCTTAATTATATTGTGGGTAATAGTTCTGAGTGTCACGGGAGAATGTGGAAGTAAACCACATTGCGGGTGGTCAGAAATTCAAAAGAAGATGGCGGGAGAGGGATGAAAACAGTATAGTGCAGTGGTCTTCTGTAAACTGCATCCATCACTCCTGTGAGATTTGACACAAACAATACAGTTTATCTGATCTTAACTTATTTAATTATCTAACATGTTATTGTATGGCTGTTGTACCTTTCATTTGGTAATTGATTGTTTTGGCCCCTATAAAAGTGTGTCATATGAGAGTGTTTGTGCTTGAATTACATAGATCATGTACCTGAAGGTAGCTGACAACAACCGGGCAGACACCCACCTTGCCTCTTCAGTGAAGCTGTGAATGAGCATGGCTTTCCTCTGAGGTATTCATGTTATTCCCAACTTTACCGTCTGTTACCCTGTTACAAATCTGCTTTTGCCTAAAGTGTGTTATTGACCAAAGATAACATGCCATTTGAGGTCATAAAGTGAAATTTATGGGGGGGGGGGGAGGGGGGGGGGGGGGAATGAACATTTCCCTCTTTCAAAAAAAAATTTCCCCAGCAGAGGGTTAATAATGCCACAATGTTTACTCACTTAGTAGCAAGGTACATGAGGAAATTTCTGTAAAACTTAAATTGATGTAGATTGTTATAGATGTGCATTAAAAATGTTTGAAGCAAGATTCTAATGTTTGTTTGTTTCAGGGTGAGAGGAGATCATGGCAGAGAAAATGCAGGTGTTGCAGAATTAATGTTCTCAGTTCGTGGAACTGACACCAACAGCTTCATTGCAGGAAAAAGTGTACACAATCAGCGGTGAGTTTAACCTAATTTGGAAGCTTTGTGTGTGTGTGCGCGCGTGCCTGTGCCTGTTGACCTGCCCAGGGTGTACCCTTCGTCTCACACTTTGACTGCTGGAGACAGGCACCAGTCCCCCTGTGACCATTCAAAAGATAACTCAAGTTGACAATGGATGAATGGACATGTAAATGTGTGTGTATATTTTAATTTTCTTTTATTTAATCCCCCTCCAAATCCAGAATTGAGCGCCTCTGACGTGATGTCTTCATGAGTGTTACTGGTTTATATTACAACATCCTGCACTCTCTGGAAGACCAAGACTTGCTCGACATCAGCAACATCCTTCACCTGTTTTGTTGCCACTATATTTTCTTGTCTCGCATCCAGGCCAGCCTGGATGTCTTTAGAGATGCATGGGACAACCATCCAATCAGGACAGAGGAAAACATGACACCAAATCAGCTGTGGCATCTGGGCCAGGCTCTGAATCCTGTTTCTGATCCAGGGGCAAATGTATGTTCTGTTAAAATGACTGATCACATGTCAAGTTGATCCTTAACTAAAAATCAAATGTTCAACACTTTGATAATCTACCTCTGCACTATGCTTCTTGGATTCAAGACGAAATGGCTATTGAAATTACAGTTCTGTTTGTGTGCACCTCTACTGAAATGGACACTGTCAACTATAATGTCATGACATTACAAAGTCATGACACATCTGCAAGTTCAAAATGCAAGGCATTAGACCTTCCAGATGTGATATTCTCACTGCTGTTTTAACATAAAATTTGCCCATTAATTAAAAAATAATAATAATTTATGAAATAATGGAGATGCTAGGTTCTGCCTGACATCATTGATGTTAAGTAATTGTTAAAAGGTCATGATAAAGCTTTATTAAATGTGTTTTCTTGAGATTCATTATGCACAATGCTCATACACACTTTCTTTTTCCAGAGTATACCAATACCAGAGACTGAATGGGAGGAAAATGGATACATGACTGAACCTCATCCTGGGATCAATGTCCCTGTACTGGACAGTCCTCTTTCAGATCATGAAATGTTGGAACTGCAGAACAGCATTAATCCGTTGCAACATTTAGACTCTTTTGGAGTGGACATATATCTTCACACTGTCCAGTATGTTGAGAACTTACTTGAGGCTAGATGATTACATGTGTGAAGAAGGAAGGAGAGAGAAGGTAGGGAGTTAGGAAGAAAGAAAACAATTAATGAGACAGGAAGGAAGAAAGTTAAAAAGTGAAGGAGTGGTCCATTTTAAGGTTAATATACTGTATATTGTTATTCAAGGGATTTGCCGTCGTAAATATGAAATGCTAAAGGATAGACCCCCAAATAGATTTCTAAATTCATTTATAGTTGTGTATTTCCTTAAAGGCTGTGTCAGCCTGATTTATTTTAGACCAGGAATGTATTTGAAAAGGCTGCTGTCCACTTAATCTATGCTACAATTCTTCAAAATGTAGATGTTCTATCATTGCTAGTGTTGGTTAAGTAACATACATCTTCCTGTGTATCCAGCTCTAATAAAAACATATTTAAAGGTGAAGCACCTACTTCTTATCAGGAGATCCATTTCTTTTTACATGTTATTGTTTGAATTTTGTCTCGTTTCATAACTTTTGCTCAACATTTAAGGGGAACTGTGTTACCCTGCGATCATCTTCATTACACTTGAAAACTCGTACTATACCTCCGTCTGTCTACTTATTAAATAGAATAACATGACAAGATTCTATCTACAGTTTTTTTGATCAAGGGATGATTAGGTGTTGTGAGAAGATTCTCTATGCTACTGAGTCTGAGTTAAATTGCAACTGGACACACATACTCACACACAGTTTGTTCATTTGTTCTCAGAATGAGAATAATGTCTTTTAGAGTTAAAAAGTTATTTTTTTTTCTTGATGTCACTGAAGGCTGTGTTAGAAATATATGCAGCTCATTAAAAGGAAAAGTAACTGATGTAACCAAGAGCCTGAACACAGGAGAATAGAGACACCTGCCAAGATAAAGAGCTGAGCTTTTGCTCCTTTTCAGAGTCACTCCCATGGAATAGGTCTGATGATTTACTAGCTTCTCTTACCTTCTCTGCAGACAATGTTTAATATGAGCTTCAAGAGGTCTCTGCCCCTAACGGGGTTTGCTTTCACATAGTAAAAATGCATAATTTTTCTGAATAAGATTATTAAGAGGCCACCCATAGGGTGGAACGTTGGTTATGTATTGTAACCCCAGATTCTATGAGTATAGTGTAGCCCTCTGAGCAATCGCCTATTGGATTAATTCCATCCCCTTAACTGCGCAGATTGGATCAGCGGTGATCGGCGAGCAGTGCTTGCCGGTTAGATTTGTGTCCGACTTGACGCCGACTTGCTCTATCTCTATCGTAGGCAACGATAACCTTGTGAGATCAAGGTGGCTGCAGATTTTGGAGCAAGGCGCTGCAGTTGCTCTCCCTCGACTGCAAAACCCAGGGCATGACGGGAAACGCCTGGCTCTCACCTGATCTAAGATCTGATTGGTACATATTTTGATCCAAACATCCGGTGGTAGAACATGAAATGTTAGTTGGTCACATGTATTCTGTAAATCATGTAACGTTGATGATGACAACTATATAGGCCATAAAGAGAAATGTGATTTGTGTTCTTTTGTCACGTCTCCTATGAGCACACTAAACCTACAGCTGATAACCTTTACTTATTATTACAGTCATGTCTCCATATACAATATATGATATCCACAAGCACGTGAGGATGTGTTTCAGCTGCTAACAGGCACCAGAATTAAAATGGAAAATTAAACAAGTGTGAACGCTAACGTGATATCTTCAGCCATCGTCACCCCCGAGCTACACGTGATGTAGGGAATTGTGTCCGACTATGCGCACAGCAGATCTGTTCCGTAATATAAGGAGCCATATGATTGGCTGAAAGCGAACAGCCCTGGCAGAATCATATATTTGATTGACAGATTCATTAGCCAATGGTGACGTTTGTTGATCTGCGACGTTAGGAGAGTCTCAAAATTCAGCACACCGATTTCTCTCACGAATGCAGGAAGGTTCACAAATGAGAAGCTGTTCGTGAATGCACCACACAAATTTCACTCACAAACGCAGAAAGGTTCACAAATGAGAAGCTGTTCGTAAATGCGCATTCAGCAATTCGTATGATCTGTGAGTTTATATTACAAGTGTTCTTACAAATTATATTTGTGAACCACAGAGTGTGAACTTCAGAATTAGCGTGTGCATTTGTGGAAAACCTTGTGTGACTTAATTCTTATTGAGACTGTTCTGGCCTCATACCATTTTGTCATTTTATCACATATTATATTTTAACTAACTTGTCCTAGGGCTTTAGGCCTATGACCTAAAATTGATAAGCCATTGGGAATCAAAAGTTGTCTAAATAGTTTTCAAAAGGACTAATGGTGTAGTTCGGGCTTAGTCTCAAATATTGATCTTTTTACATTAAAGTTCTTGGTTTATTAACTTGCAGACACATGATCAGAGCTATATCCAACTTAGTGTCATGTCAAATCTCAAGACAATGACAGTGTCATTTCCTGCCATCACCAAAGCCACTACCCCTGACAACAGGAAGTTTATTGTTTTACTCTAAAAGGTCCAACTTTGACCCTTTGTATAGAATCAACATGAGACACTGCCCAATGTCAGAAGACATGCTGGTGTAATGCAGCATTCAGTACTGAGATATTTCAAGAGAGAATGGGGTTGTGGTGAGACGGCAAAATTGGATGGCAAGCCGTGGCCTTACAATTGGCTGTAATTTCATCATACACACTGATTTTCACCAAATTAAACACAACAGATGTTACAGTCTCTCAAAGAAATGTTTGCAAATTGTTGGTAATTAAAGTCTTAATTTTGCTTTAGGGCCCCTTGCATGCATTCATGTTTTTAATAACTTCTACAAGAAAAGGTCATATGTCAGTATGACTTTCTTGTTTAGTCCTTGTAGCTGTGTTGAGTGTTAACTTGACAAGGTTTGTACACTCTGTGAGCCCCTAGCTGCCTTTTTTACACAACAAGCCATCAACAAGCTATCCTATCCAATCCTGATATCCTTTAAATAAAGTTATTGTCCCATAAATAAATCTGAGATACTCACTCAAAAATTGAACCACAATTAGCCACCTCCTCTACATAGATGACATAAAACTGTATATCAAGACCGAGCGAGACATTGACTCACTGATCCAAACCACCAGGATCTACAGCATTGATATTGGAATGTCATCTGGACTTGAGAAGTGTGGTCGAATGTTGACAAAGTAAGAGAAGATAATAGATACAGGAGGGGTCTCACTCCCAGAAGGAAAAAAGTCAGACCTTGAGGACAGCTACAAATTCCTTGGTGTCCAGCAAGCAAATGGCAACCTCGATGAGGCTGCAAGGAAATAAGCCACAACCAAATACTTAAAACAAATAAGGAGAGCACTAAGAAATCAGCTCAAGGGCAAGAACAAGATTTGGGAAATAAACAGCTATGCCCTGCTAGTAATCAGATATCTGTCAGGAATAATGAGCTGGCCAAAAGGAAAAAATACAGACCACAGATGTTAAGACACAAAAGCTCCTAACCATGCATGGACCATTACACCCCAAATCCAGCACCCTGAAACGGTATGCTAGCAGTAAGGAAGGAGTCAGAGGACTAGCTAGTGTGAGAGCTATGATCCAAGATAAAATAGCCAAGGTCTTTAAGTACCATCAAGGATAAGACATCTACAGATGACATGCTCAGTGAATGTCACAGACATGGGCAAACAGAGGAGCAGGTGCTGGAAATACTATTGTGGAAAGACACCCCTACATGTGATGTACCACCGACAGGACATAGGTCAACTAAGACAAACAAAAACTGAGTTTTAGGTAGCATTAGGTTGCGGTTTCTGAACAGAAACATTAGTAGAAATGTTAGCTTTATCTATGCACTCTTCTGAATAAAGATTTCTGAAGTTTATCCTGGAATATGCCCATCTCTCTCCAAGTTAAATGGTCACAGGCCTAAGTGCTCGATTAACCAATGGTACTTCTGAGGCCTTGACTCCCCCAAAAAACCTCTATTTCCTCTTTGATTCCTTGATATTTTGAATATTATATATAAATGTGTATACTGGTCTCATAATGTTTAAATGTCTCCTTAAACCATGAAACAGTCAGAATTGTATATTTTTGTAAACAGACCTCATAAACCCTAATTGTCTCCATAAACCACCAGGTTGTCAAGTCCTCATAAGCCTGTGGAAATTCATATGTGAAATGTATGTATGTTCTGATATGTTTTTCTTAATTTTGAAGTGAGACTTTTCTTCTATGGGTAAAATCAAAATTTTTGACATACTTTTCGTGTTCACCAGATGCAGGGAAAGGTGTGTCCTCATAAACCACCAAAATGTCATAGTGGCTTCATAAACCATATCTACATGTATGTGTGTGTGTGTGTGTGTGTGTGTGTGTGTGTGTGTGTGCGTGTGTGTGTGTGCTTTCAGGACATTCAGTTAATAGGTAGGTTTGTTAATAGGACTAAAGTAATGAAATATAAAATTTCCATAACAGTTACAATCTTATTACAATAATTACACAAAATGTGTTGTGTAATTGGAATGGGCAGCCACTAATGTTATTTGTGTTTCTGTTTATTTTGCTTGTCAGAATAAACAAAGCATTCATTAATCTTCAAAGATGAGCAGTGTCACAGCGATTGCTCAGCATTAACCCACAAAACACAGAAGAGATCCGTTACACCTTCACTGGTTCAGCTTTGAGATGTCCAGATATAGCCAGTTCAGAGGACTGTTGTTCCCACAGCTTGCTACCTGTTTTCAACATGGATCTGGTAGCTTTATGCTAAACACAGTTAACTTTGAGATGCTTTTTGTTCATCTGCCCAAAGCTGTGTTAGATTCCTAGGTTTTATTTTGTTAGCTTAAATTGCAGAGATACAGCTCTGGAGCAAAAGCTGGAGATAATGTTTTGATAAAACCAAAAGGAATGCATTATCTGCAAAAAGTAGAGACCTGATCCTTAGATCACCAAAAAGGATCCCCTCAACACCATGGCAGAGCCTAGAAGTCCTGTCCATAAAAGTTATGAATAGAATTGGTGACAAAGTGCAGCCTTGGCGGTGTCCATCTCTCACCAGAAATAAGCCCAACTTACTGGCGGCAAAGCAGACCAAGCTCTGGCACCAGTTATTCAGAAACCTAACAGCCTACATCAAAGGACCTGGTATTACATACTCCTGGAATACCCTCCAGTCACAATATTTGTGATTGAAACTAATCTAAAACTTCCCAATTATATCACACAAGTACAGAGGCTGAATTGGTGAACTAGTGAAGGAAGTGAGTGAAGGAGAGAAAGGTGGAAAGGCAGAGCAGGAGAATGCATCCACCCCCCACCTCGACAGCACCACCACGGTTTAGAAAAATCCTAGAAGAGACCCTGATATACCACACAGGACTGTAGCCTAATTTATACTTCTCCATCAGCTCCACAAGGGAGAGATATGCACACACTGACAGAGACATTTTGCCTTCAGAAGGAATGCTGCAAAGCAATTCCTCGCCAGGGCAACAGAGGGCATAGCGCTGTTTCGTCCTGACATGACATGTATCTGACCGAAGATAGTGCATTTACTATTGTGTTTATATTGTGTGCTTTTTTGTATTTCT